CTGGAGTTATCGCACAGTGGTAGGGTGTTTGCCTTGTGTGCAGCCAGCCCAGCCAGTAGGGTTCGATTCCTCCACCTCTCTCAGAGAGCCCGACAAGTTACCGACAGTATCTCGCCTGCATGGCAAAGCCTGGCAATCTACCCGTGACATACTCAATATGCCAAACACAGTAACAACAAGTCTCAAAAAAATGGAGACATTACTGGGCCCAGTTGAGAAAATTGATAAACAACGGGAAGGGAGTGCTACAGTGCCCATGGTTCAGAACCTCCTAAGAACACTGAAAGCTTGATTGTTCCACCCGTCACTTATTATCAAATCCTTGAGATTCTCCTTTCTAAGGGTTTCATGAATCTCTGGACAGGCCTTTGTTTTTCTCATGTTCACTTGATCACTTTATTTGACGTCCTGTTAATCATCGATTTCCTCAAGCGGGCGCCAGTAACGTCTCCATTTTTCCCTGTCGTGTGCTAGTGTAGCCCAATGGCATCTGTTCGCTCTGGGATCATGAAGAGCCTCAAACCCATCGTTCACGATCTTCACGAAGAAGTCTGACCATCTGGTAGGTGGGCGGCCATGCGATCTTTTGACATCCTCTGGAATCCAGTCGGTAATGGCTCTAGTCCAGCGGTTGTCTCTAAAGCTTATTATGTGACCAGCCCATCTGATTTTTGACACGTTGGCAAAAGAGACAGCATCCCTGATTCTTGATCATTGATGGAGGTCGGAACTCCGGATTCTTTCTCTCATTTGAGTGAAACATGATATTCGAAGGATAACTCTTTCAATTCCTCTTTGGAAGACCCAAATACCATTCTCATCCTGATTGTGTAGGGCCCAGGTCTCTGAGGCATATGTTAGTGCAGGAAGAACAGTGGAATCAAAGAGATGTGCCCGGAGCCAGAGGTTCTTCGCCCTCTTAGTTATTTCTTTGATGCTCTTGAAGGCATTCCAAGCTGCTCTCTTCCTCCTGCTCAGCTCGGGTGCCAGGTCATTTGTCATGTTGACTTCTCGACCTAGGTACACATAGCTGTTGCATTTGGAGATGGTTGTTCTGTTGAGAGTGAATGGGGCATCAGGAATGAGGCTGTTTCTCATAAACATTGTCTTCATAAGATTCAGCTGTAGTCCGACCTTTCCACACTCACGGTCGAAGCTGGCCAGCATTTGTGCCGCTTGCCTGATGTTTGGTGTTATTAAAACAATGTCATCAGCAAAGCAGAGGTGGTGTAGTTGCTGACCATCTATCTTCACTCCCATTCCTTCCCATTCCAGTCGTTGCATGATGTTCTCGAGGATGGCACTGAAGAGTTTCGGTGAAATGGTATCACCCTGTTGAACCCCTCTCTTGACATCGATGATTACTTCTTTGTAGAATAGTGAGATCCTGGTAGTGAATCCGCAATACAGCTCATGGAGGATCTTGATGTATTGAGCTTGAATGCCCTGATTGACTAGGGCTTCAATGACCGCTTCCGTCTCAACAGAATCAAAGGCCTTCTTTAAATCAATGAACATTAGACAGAGCGGCATCTTGAACTCCCGAGAAACCTCAATGAGCTTAGTTATCATGTGGATATGGTCGATGGTGCTGAATTCTTTGTGGAAACTGGCTTGCTCTCATGGTTGTCCTTTGTCTAGTGTTCTGCCAATCCTATTCAGGATGACTCGAGTGAACAACTTGTAGATGACAGACAATAGGCTGATCGGGGGATAGTTGCCAATGTCATGGATGTCTCCCTTCTTGTACAGTAGTATAGTTCTGCTGGGTTTCCATTGGGATGGAACCTTGCATTCAGACAGGTAGTGTGTGAAGAGCCGAGCCAGCGTATTGATGAGTACTGACGGCAGGTTCTTCAGGTATTCAGGTCTGACCTTGTCTGGGCCTGGTGCTGTTCATTTCTTTACTGACGAAATGGCGTGTCAGATTTCTGAAGGAAGAACATTGGGAATGACATATCCATCCTGTGGAGTTTGATATGTCGGCAGGTGGATATGGCTATAGAAGAGATTTGAGTAGAAGTCATGGATAATCTTCTCCATTGCCGTTCTGGAAGATGTGATAGATCCATCAGGACATCAGAGGGCAGTCATCTTGGTCTTGTAGTTGGCGAAGGACAGGTGGGAGTTACGAATACTTTTCCCGGCTTCTGCCGCATCTACCAGCACTTCTGCTCTTCTCTCTTTGAGATCTTCCTTGATCACATCTCTGCACTGCTTTGCGAGCTCAGACAGATGTTCGCTTGCGGTTGCCTGAAGCATGCGCCAAACCACGTTGGCGAATATACTCAAGAGTTTTCAAAGACAGGCATTTTTTTTGTGGCTATCTCTCTCTTGGCATTCTTCACACAATTATGGTGGTGCTGAACCAGTCGATAGTATTCCTCGTCACTGTTGTCAACATTGGCATCTTCCCATGTTGCTGCAATAGTGCCAAAGAGCTCCCAGTTTGTAGTCGTTCTGGGAGTTCTCTTCTTAAACTTTGCAGGCCTTTCTCCCCACTCTGTGAAGTAGAATTTTGCACGAAGGAGATGGTGGTCCGATCCCGTTTGGAATTTTGGGACAACAGTGACATCGATCAGGCAAAACTGTCAATTGAATATGATGTGGTCTATTTTGTTGTGGAATTGTCCACCGGGAGACTCCCATGTCCAATGTTTAGATTTGGCCTTCTGTAATCTTGAGTTACCATGGATGGTCTTGGTCGACATGATGAACTCATATAGTCTCTCGCCCTGTTTGTTCCATTCTAGGCCATGGGTCTACGCATGACTGAAACCCCACAGAACAAGATAAGCTGAACTCTGAGACCTTGGACTCCAGGTTTAACGGACCCAGGGACAGAGATTCTCTGCTTGCTCCCACCAACCACAGGTGACAAAGGGATTATAATCAGGAGCCCCACCCTACCCTGCCCTGTCAGCTTCCACCAACCACCAGAGACCCAGGGATTGAATTGTGCACAGAAGACCCACCCTACCCCTACTGGGACCAGATAAATACCTCACAGGCAGACCTCCACTACCTCCACTACCCAGCCTCCACAACACTCCAGGACACTTTCCAGACCCACTTCGCAGTCGCGCTACACATTATGAGACACTAAATACCCATCTTCCAGAATTGCCATACCATATTTGATAGGGTTCAAATATGGTAATATGGTAACACTTACAAGGGCGATTAGAGGTCACCCCAAAAGCCTCTATCCCTCTCGGAAAGCCTGCCAAGCTACCGAGAGTATTCCACCCTCATGGCAGAGCCTCGCAAGCTATCTGTTGTGTATTTGATATGCCAAAACCAGTAATTACAATGGGTCTCATTCCCCTGAACCTGAAGGTGTCACCAATATGGTAGCATTGAGAAGGATGAGAAAGGAGAGGCCGATAAAATCTCAAGGCCGAACTAGGCTGCCACAACGAAGGAAGACAAAAATGATTGTCTGTACTTTCAATGCATGTACGCTAGAATGAGATGCATCCATAGAAGATCTGATAGTACAAGCACAAAAGATTAAGTGAGACATCATTGGTCTGACCGAGATAAGAAGGCACCAATTTCATCACGCCGTTTTCAACACTGGAGAGTTGTTCCTCGGAACATGCAATGAAAGAGGTGTCGGAGGCGTTGGTGTCCTTGTCAACACGAACTTGGCCATGAGCATTGATTCATTCGAATGCCTAACAACCCGAATCGGAGGTTTACATTTGAATAGATGTGGCTCACTGCCGGCAGTTTAATACCTTCGTTGTCTATGCACCAACATCCACTTATGATGGAGAAATTGAAAAGTTCTACATGGAGTTGGAGAAGTTCTATAAAGAAGACCACACCTTCTACAAGATCAGTGTGGGTGATTTTAATGCCAAGATAGGACCAAGAAGATCAGCCGAAGAACTTCTCATGTTCAAGACTTAAAATTTGATACCCATCTGGAGGTGTTCTTCATGCCTTGGCTATTTCTGGACTGGGAAATTTCTTCTTAAGTTTTATTATTTCCATGAAGCTATTTACCAGGTCCCCCTACCAACCTCTGCCCGAGAAATTACCATTTACTTTTAAAAATAAAAATCATTCTCATAGAATCTAGAAAGAAATATTGATAAATAGCATGAATTACACTGTTTTCACTTATTTTGCAAATTCTCAGTGATTGTAATAGAAATATCTGATAGTCATGAAACATATAGGGAGGGCTAGATGCAGCGTAAAACAGAAATACAGTAGTTATATACAATTATTTTAGGGTAAATATATAACTTACTGATGACAGCTTCTCAAACAGACATAGTCATGGAAGATATTTTACTTGAATCCTGACATATAAGAGAGAAGAGACATTTCCAAAACAGTATCTTAAAGCATTAACTGAACAATATTTGGCAACAAGTGACTTCATTCCTATTAGTTTTATAGAAAAGATTCAAGTGCCAGGAGAATTCAAGTTCCTGAGAAAGTTGTGATCTGTTATAAGAAAGACGCGACACCTGAGATATTTCCCAGGCTTTGCTGGCAAGAGACACCTCCCCATTTCAGAAATCTGGAAGCCATGCCTGTGTTTCCGGAAGCCTCATGGTCCCATTTTCTTGTATTTCATTGGCTTGCTCCACCTGTAAGACATCTATAAAAGCCTGGTCTTTCCTGCCCTAAAAATATCATCCCAGATCCTAGCAGAAAAGGTAAGTGGGTACTGATACAAGACAATATTCAGTACTGTGGGAGATATTCCTCATGTTGTCTAGGAAACATAGAGAAGAATCCCATTTCTGAGAGAAAATAGGCACTCTAAGATTCTTGGATGATAATGCATGAGGAAACTGGGTAACAGTACTTAAAATATCAAATATTTTTTTGTTTCTGAAGAGTGAAAAAAATAAGTAAGACAAAAATTATCTTGGTAAATGGACAAAGGAAAGAATGAGATGGAACATTGGGTGGGTGCACTTTGTGCCCTCTCCCTGTGGCCCTGACCAACTGCCACTGCTGACTTTGACAGCCTCATCCAGACAGACAGAATGGCCTCCGTTGTCTTTGCCAATGTGGCTTGGATGCTGCTGTCCTGCCTCATGCTTCAATGTCAAGTGAAAGGTGTGTTGTCCCAGAATTGCTCAGTCTGTTTAGAGGGGCCAAGGAACCCTCTAAGCAGACTGAGCAGATGGCTCCTGTGGAACACACTTTATCAGTGAGGTCGATGTCATGCAAAGCTTGATCCTGTAATACTCCATTTTTCAAAGAATTACTGGGATACATTTCTGAGTTTCCAAGGATTCTCAGAAAATGAGATCTTCTATCAATGGAGTCAAAGTCCCTAGAAGAGTAATATTGGAAATATCAGTAACGAATTGGTGAATGATAAAGACTGTGGGACATAAACAACATCTCAGCTGACTGAGGGAACTGTGGGACCTTCATTTAAAAGAAAGGGGCAATAGAAGATTGCTTGGTAGCTCCCATAGCAAGTGGGGATCATAGTGATTCAGTCCCCCAAATCTTGCATGATTGTCATTGGTTTGAGGTCAGCTCCCCAACACTGCTCTAATCAGTGTACCATAAAGTATCCTCTTCACTTCTAATCCCTTTGTGCTTTTCATACCATCACTGCTTTTCATTTTTGACCCCAGGGGAAGACTTGCAGAAGAAAAAAACATCTGAGAAAATCAATTGCCCTAGCGGCTCCTTGTCCTATGTCTCCAACTGCTATGCCTTGTTTCTGTCACCCAAAACCTGGATGGATGCAAATGTGAGTTTTGCAAAGTTGGTTAGTGGGACTTTCTGTTGGCTGTGCAAGTTGACTTCCCTTCTGCTGGCTTTCCTAGCTTGATACACTGATAGTTATCCACTTTGATCCTGGTGACAATTTCAGAGTCATCTGAACCCCCTCCCAAATCTCTTCCTTCCTCTTACAGTTTGCATGCCAGAAAAGGTCCCAAGGACACCTTGTGTCTGTGCTCACTGCCTCTGAGGGTTTCTTTGTGGCCTCCATGATCAGGAAAATGGGGAATAAGCATGCAAACATCTGGATGGGACTCCATGACCCCACAGAGGTGAGATTACTCCTCATAGCTTACATTTTCATATTGTTTTTGCCACACAGGATGATCAGCCTTTAGTGTTTGTCCAGTAATAAAGAATGAGAGGTCCAGAAATGCAAGCTGAGGTTTTGGAATCTGAATCCATTTGATGATCTGTGTTTTATGAAGCTCTCTCATCTCAATCTTTTGTCACACCCCCTCTATGAGATAACTGATGCTATCGGCTTCCTAATATAGTAGTGTGACAATTTCAGTGCTAATACCAGATGTGAAATGTCTCCCACAGTAGGATATTTTTCCTCTGAGTTGAAGGGGCTTAAAATCTAAATAGTTCAATCAGTAAGTCTGTTAAATTGACTTTAACTAGACTTGCACATTTTAATAATCAAAGCAATAAACTAGGCAAATTTCCCATAAGTCTGCTCTAGGTTTGCATCCTTAGGTGAAGACCAGATTTCCTTATGTCATGGAGAAAATGAGGTATTCTGCAAATATTTTATGGAAAGAGGACTTTAGGGACCAGTCACCATTCACCTGAACTCTCTCTGTTTTATGCCACAGGGCCTTCAACCCAATGGAAATGGCTGGGAATGGATCAACCATGATGTGCTGAATTACCGTGCCTGGGAGAAACATAACTCTAGCACTGCCCCAGGCTATTGTGGGAGCCTTTCAGCAACCTCAAGTAAGAAAGAGACAAGTTTCTGTCTCTGCCTCTTATTCTCTCATTTCTGAGACAAAGGTCAGAAAATCCTAGGCAGGAGAAAAATTCAGCTGTATTTTCTGTTCCTGCACCATCTCTGTTCTTCCTATCTTACTTGAGTGGCCTTCCTCAAGAATAGGTCACTCTTGTCAATGAGGCTGCCATAGGCAAATACCTGGATGATTCTTTTGCACTCCTGGTTCTAGCAGCCATACTTACATATCTTCTGTTTATTCAGATTATGAACAATGGAGAGATTATGACTGTGACAAGCTGCTTCCCTATGTCTGCAAATTCAAGAACTAATCAGAATGAGCACTCTCTAGCTGAGTTTGGAATGCTTCTCTTCATGAAATGGAAAGACGTCTGAGAATCCCCTAAAAAATTATTGTTTCTTAAGTTCAATTGTACCCATTTTTGATCCTTCTTGCCACCAGGCTTATTTCTTTATTTGATGCCCTATGGTCTAATTTCTCAAACATTAAAATAAGTTATTTTAAATTCATTAAGTTTTCTTCTGTTTTGCTTTCTTTTTTTTTTGGAGGAAAAGACTAGGTAACAAGCTTTCCTTGTATGCAGCCTACCCCATACCAATCCCCAGTTCTGCATATGATTCCCAAAATAAAACCAAGGAGGTCTTGAGCAAAAGAATAATTAAAATAAAATTATTTTCATCTCCAAATGTTTTTTAATGGTGTTTTGCACATTTGGATTTTCATTATACATATCTTTCACTTCACTGTCAAATTAATTTTGTAGTTTTTAATCCTCCTGTAAAAGGTAAAAGGTAAAGGCCCTCCCGTTGATCATCGATTTGCTCGAGCAGGCCCAGTAACGTCTCCATTGGAGACTTTGTCGTTACTGTGTTTGGCATATCAAATACGTCACAGGCTCAGCCGTGTGGGCGAGATACTCTGGGTAGCTTGTCGGGCTCTCCGAGCGGGGCGGAGGAATCGAACTCAGGTCGGCCATGTTGGCTGCGTGCGAGGCAAACGCCCTACCGCTGTGCTACTGCTCCAGAATCCTCCTGTATGCATCATAAAATGGATAGTGTCTTGCATTTCCACATGTACTCATTAAATGCGTGCCTATTGACATACACTATGATTGCAATGGTGTGTTTCAAGAGCTCCCTTTGTGATGCTCACCCAAGCAACACTTAGCAAATCGGACTGGATGGTTTAATGCATTGCCTGGAGATGCGATGCTGCTTCATTCCAGTCCATCTGGGAGCCATCAAGCTCACATCTGATACTTTGGTGTCTTGAGGGATGCACTCACCTGTGTTCTGTGGGGGTCTTATGATGTCTTACTAGGAGATCGCATTGCTAGCCTTGTGAATATGAAGCATCTGTTCTTGACCTCTGACCTCTGAGCACTCTGCTCTGTCCCTCCTGCAGAATTGTGCACATAGTTTTTCTAATGACACATGTGGCTCTACATCTTAATTCTTTCTAGCATCATTTCAACCAAGTCTTCAGGGTTCTCCATGTATATTTTCATTCATATGCAAATAATTTTCACTTCTCTCATAATTAGAAATTTTTTCATTTTTATATTTGGTGCATAGAGACCTCAGCAAGCATGAATCAATATTTATCCAGGCTCTGTGCTCAGATATCACTCCTGGTGGATTCAATGTACCATATATTGTGTCCAAGATTGAGCCCAGGTTAATCATGGGCAAGGAAGCACCTAAACCACTACATTTTCTTTCCAGCCTTTATGTTTTTACTAATTGTTGCTAAATACTCCATCCATGACCTCTAGTATTAAGTAGAATATAAGTAGGAGCTGTGAGTGAGGACATCATCACCTCATTTCTGACATTTAAGATGAAACTTTCATTTTGAATTTTATTACTTACTTCTTTAACTTAACGTTATTTTTTAATTTCTTAATTTTTCTTTTTTATCCATTGAGAATATTATTAACTCTCTGTTTATAATATATGTCTTTAGTATATTGATTTTTTCCCTTTGTTTTCAATTTACTGAGTTTTTATCCTAAACAAGTTTGATACTGTCATACGACTTTTGTTACGCCTTTAATTGATAAGGTATTTTGTAGTTGATTATTTGTGTGTTAAAAACCATCACTACACCTTGGGAATCAACTCCAGATGGTTATAAGGTATTATTCCATTGATTCATTGCTGAATTTGATTTATTCATATTATATTTATTTAAAAATTCTTTTAACTGAAAGATATTTACTCTGAAAGATGTTATGGGAGAGAAGAAAAGGAAAACATGTTCAAATGAGAACACATATTTCTCCAGGATGGAAAAATACAAATACTAATATTTTCTTGATAATGCATTATTTCATTAAATTACACGTCAATACTTCTCTAATTTTGTAATATTTTAATCTAGTGTCGTTGTCAGAAACATGTTGGCCCCATAACATATATTTGAATTATTCTTTGAGTTTCTGAAGCTTGGAGAAGAATATGTTTAAAATACTGAAATGTTTTGGTCAAGCCATCTTATATCTGAATTTGTTTTTTTATGAATGTACCCATTGAACAATTAAGGTTCTGTACCAGTTAATGTAAACAACTCGGAGGCAGTAAATACAGGTGAAAGCATATAACACCTGATATACCACAATGAAATGTTCGTGCAGCTGCAGTGAAAGCTTGTGAGCAAGTTTTGTTAAAGCTTAATATAAAAAAGATTGATCAAGAGCCAGAGAGGCCTTTCATGGGCAGAGATTCGGGGTCTCATTGGGGCAGGGAGGAAATGGCTGGCTCCATCCCCATCCCGTGAGGCCTGCTGTGTCTCATCACTGCGGGCCCAAACCGGACTATCCAATGGCCTCTGGGGGATGGTGGCCACCGAGCTGCCAGAGGGCACAGGCCAAGGCACAAAAACTATCCCACATGGGGTGGCCCGGTGCCGAAAATCTACTGTGGGAACCAACACATTTATGACAAAAGCTGATGGGTTCTGAGATTTATTTCTGAGTCTCTTGGATCATGGCATTAAGCAGCCTGATCAGAAGCCAGAGAGGCCATTCGTGGGCAGCAACTTGGGGTCTCATTGGGGCAGGGAGGAAAGGGCCAGCTCCACCCCCATCCCATGAGGCCTGGCGTGTCTCATCACTGCAAACCCAAACTTGACTATACAGTGGCCTCTGGAGGATGGCAGCCACCAAGCCTCCAAGGAGGAGCAGGATGAGGGACAGCTTTCCTCCCTGGGGTGGCCAGGCGCCAGTAACCTATTGCGGGGACCAAATGCATTTCTGCCAAAAGCTGCTGGGTTCCAAGATTTGTTCCTGAGTCTCTGCTGCTTATCGGCCATGATCCCAGAGACTCAGAAACAAATCTAGGAACCCAGCAGCTTTTGGCAGAAATGCATCTGGTCCCCGCAGTAGGTTAATGGTGCCAGGACAACCCAAGTGGGAATAGGTTTTGTGCCTTGGCCTGTTCCCCATGGCAGCTCTGTGACTGCCATCCTCCAGAGGCCATTGAACAGTCAGGTTTGGGTTCACAGTTATGAGACATACAGGGCCTCATGAGATGGGGGTGGAAGCGGCCCTTTCCTCCCCACCCCAACGAGACCCTGGGTCACCACCCATGAAAGGCCTTTCTAGCTCCTGATCAAGCTGATTAATGGCCATGATCTCAGAGACTCAGGAACAAATCTCGGAACCCTTCAGGTTTTGGCTGAAATTCCTCTAGATTTAATTGATAAAATTTCAGAATTCCAAAATCGTGCTGCCACTACTGTGGCCACGCAAAATCATATGTTATTCATAATCAGCAATAGAAAACAAATTGCCTATGGTTGCCTTTTAGCAGATCTGAATTTTGGGACAAAATTCCAAATAATAATGGTGGGTCTGGTGTCAAAATATCGAATGTAATCAAAGTAGAGAGAGAGTAATGGGGAATTCATCTGCCCCACAGCTAGGGGGAGGGTTTGGGATGGGGAGCATACTGGGATTTTTGGTGGTGGAAAATGGGCATTGGTAAAGGGACAGGTGTTTCATCACTGTATGACTGAGACTTAAACCAAAAGCTTTGTAACTGCTCTCATAGTGATTCAATAAATAAATTTTTAAAAAGGAAACAAAAATTATAAGGTGGAGTTCATGCCCAATTCAATCAGCCAAATCAATGGCTGAATAAATAGCAATACTTCTACATAAACAAAGATTGACACCAACATGGAAGAAGCTATTATACGCAACTTGGATCTTCATTTGGCTTAGGAAACTCAGTTTTCAAAAACGTTCTCTGGATTTATCTTTTCCTAGACTTGGTCATTCTATTTGTTAGAAAGACAAAGACAGCAGAATGGCTTCTGTGGAAAAAGCAACCTGAAGTTTACAGAGTCAGGACCAAATCTCACCTCTGTGGGGTCATGGAGTCCCATCCAGATATTCTCATTCTTTGTAACCAGACACAGGTAGAAGAACATCAATCTATCTATCTACAAACCCCAGAAGAAGGAACGCGCTAATTCCAAAACCATTAGCAGCTCCCACTAACCCCAGCTTAAAAACTCACATCTGCATCCATTCAGGTTTTAATGGACAAAAACAAGGCTTAGAAGTAGGAGCCATAAGCCATGGGGCTTTTAGGGCAACTGATTCTTGGAGACAGCTGTTCCTTCTGCAATTCTTCACCTGGGGTAGAAAAAATGAAAAAAAAAATGATAGGGTGATGAAAACAATGGGAATAGAAGGTGGGGAGATACCTATAGTACACCAAGTAGAACAATACTTGGGAGCTGATAATAAACCAATGACACTAGTCAAAATTTGGCGGTCAATGTTATTTTTTGCATTATGAACAGGCCTACTACATGAGCAACCCCTTTCTTTTGAATATAGATCCCACAATCTCACAGTCAGCTAAGATGTTCTCCATGGCCAATAGGTTTCAACCTTTGCAATGGATTTTATTGACTGACACTTTCAATATTGATCTTCTAAGGGAAATGATTCCTCTGTTCAAAGAAGAAATTAATTTCTGTGAATGCTGATACTCACACACATATCTTGAATCCTTCTTTTAAAAAGAAAGCAGCACTGACTGGGCTTTGCATGCCATCTACTCCACTCATACAGTATGTTCTATAGGAGCCATCTTTCAGTTTTGGGGGATATTCTTGGTTCCAGGGCTAATTCTGAGATGATTCACCTTTCACTTGACATGAGAGCCTGAGTCAGACGGCAACATCCAAGCCACATTGGCAAAAGCCACAGAAAGCATCCTTTATGTCTGGATGAGACTGTCAAAGTCAGCAGTGCCAGTTAGTCAGGGAGAGGACAAGTGGTGTGCCCACCTACTGTTCCATCTCATTCTTTCTTCTGTCCAAACCCAGGAAAACATTGGTCTTCCAGAGAACTATCTCTCTAGTGACAACAGAAAAAAAGTGTTTGGTGTCTGAATATTGCTATCTGAAAGTCATACTCTTCACCATGGCACTCAAGTTCTTTCAGGAAAGGGATTTTTCTCTGTCTCCTCTCAATAACATGAGGCCTGTGTCATGCAGTTAATGAATGTTGTCTTCTATCCATACCACTTACCTCTCTTTCTGGGGCCAGGGACGATTTGTTAGGGCAAGAAAGACTAGGCTTATATATATATGTCTACTTTGTGGGGACACGCCAATGAATTACAAGAAAGTGGGACCACGAGGGTGCTGGGAAAGGCTAGGCATGACATCCAGAAGATTCCTGAAATGGGGAGGTGTTGCTTTCCAGAAAATCTTGGGAAATGTCTCAGGTGTCACCTCTTCCCGTAAGTGATCAGCACTTTCTCAAGAATTTGAATTGTCCTGGCACCTAAATATTTTCTGAAAGCTAAAGGGAAAGGAGTCACCCATTATTTTCTTAGTGTTCATCAAATGATTAAAGAATATTGTCTTGGAAATTTGTTTTCTCTCTCATATGTCAGGATTCTAGTAAAATATCTTCGGAGATTATGTTTTTTGAGAAGAGGTGTCATGGATAGATTGCACATTTACTTACAATAGCCTTTTATAGAGCATGCTGTATTTCTGTATTATGATATAACTAGTCCTCCTCTAAAATCTCATAATCAATCAGACAACTTTTATTTCAATTAATGAAGAGGTGTTTACCCTTTCGAAAAATGACTAAAAACTCTGTATCATTCATGGCATTTATTAATATTTATAACTTTATTTTTAAAGGTTTATGTTACTGTTAATATTTATAACTCTATTTTTAAAGGTTTATGTTACTATTGCAGACAGAGAGTCTAGGGAACCTAGTAAATAGCTTCATGGTAATAATAAAACTTGAGAAGAAATTTACCAGTCCAGAAATAGCCAAGTCATGAAGTCCACCTCCAGATGAGAAAAATTCTGAAGTGTCAAAGAGAATAATGCCCTATCCAGAGATACATGGAGCCCTTGGAAACAGGAAACCTAATAGATTTGATAAGAATATGAAAGGACTACTAATTTGAAAATGTTGTCTTTGTGATAACAGCGAAATTAACATATGCATATGACAGGAATTCCAATCCCAGACTATCTATAAAAATTACATAGAACCAAGTCATGGTATTTTTGAGAAAATGTGTATAATATCAAATTTTGTTTTCCATATAAATATAAGTTCCAAACAAATAACCAAAGATAGCAAACAAATGAGAGAGAGAATCCAGAAACAGAGAGTTCAATTGCTGACAAAATTGCATTGAGAATTTAGAAAAGATGAGGGTGTGTAAAATTCAATCTGGCAGTTTTCTTGGAAAATGCTGATGTGTTTCTGGAAGGAGGAAACACCTGAGATCATTCTCAGCCTTCCCTAGTAGTAGACTCCTCCCCATATCAGGAATCTCCTGGAATTTATGCCTATGCTTTCCCAGCTTCCTCATGATCCTACTTTCTTGTTATTCATTTCAGTGCACACCCTCAAATCAACTATAAAAGCCTGATGATTTATGACTGAACTAATATTTCCAGATCCTATCAATACAGGTAAGTGGAAGTGGAAGCTGAGACATGGAAATATTCACAGCATTGGACTTATGTGACATGCTCAAGGAAGGTAGACCTGATTCCTTTACTTGAGGATTTACGTCCTCTAAGACTCAGCATGGCTTTGTTCCTCTGCCAGTACCTTCATGTGTGCGGAGAGTGGTCTCAGCATGGTGGTGGCTGGTTGTGGAGGTCTTCGGCTGCCGGAACCCTGGTCGGGGCGGGGAGGAAAACTCAAACCTCTCCCCTCCAAGGGGCCCCGGCGAGGACAGCCAGGCATGGGGGCAGGAGACTCTGCACTGTTCTCTTCCGAGAGCTGGTTTTTATAGTCTCTGAGTCTTGGTCGTCGATGGGATTACACGGCACCAGGGGGCCAGTTGGTGGGTGTGACCCCCGCCTACGGAATTCGGAGGATCTGGGTGCAGGATGCTCAGCCCCGATCCAAGTAGGCTTGGAGATCTCGGCCCCAGGACCCGCGTGGCTTTGTTCCTCTGCCAGTACCTTCATGTGTGCGGAGAGTGGTCTCAGCATGGTGGCGGCTGATTCTGGAGGTCTTCGGCTGCCGGAGCCCTGGTTGGGGCAGGGAGGAAAACTCAACCCGCTCCCCTCCAAGGGGCCCCAGTGAGGACAGCCAGGCACGGAGGCAGGAGACTCTGCGCTGTTCTCTTCAGGGAGCTGGTTTTTATAGAGGAACAAAGCCACGTGGGTCCCGGGGCCGAGATCTTCAAGCCTACTCGGATCGGGGCTGAGCATCCTCTACCCAGATCCTCCGAATTTCAGTAGGCGGGGGTCACACCCACCAATTGGCCCCTTGGTGCCGTGTAATCCCATCAACGACCAAGACTCAGAGACTATAAAAACCAGCTCCCGGAACCGCGCGGCCGCATTCATGGCCGCACGACATCTTATTATGACATTTTATCATCTCATTTCTACTTTGGACAAACTGGCAGGCTACCGAATTTAACCTGCTCACACAGCAGAGTCTGGCAAACTCCCCGTGGCGTACCCAATATGCCAAATACCAGTAACAATGAAGGGTCTCATTCTCCTAACTCTGAAAGAGCCTTGAATATGGCATTTTTTAAAAAAAATCTTTTTTTTAAAAAAAAGGAGACGTTACTGGGACCTGCTTGAGGCAATCGACGAATAACAGGATGGTTGTGATTTTGTGATTTGTGAAGACTCAGCATGGTAGTGTAAAAGGCCTCATGGGTAGAATAGTCAGAACTGACGGTGTTTCTGTCTCTGTAGAGAAAGATACAAGTCAGGAAGATCAAATTATACATGGTACTAGGGACATGACTGAAAGTGGAATAGTGGATCATCTACTTACCTTCTTCCTGGTTACACTGTCGTTTCTGTCTCCTGTAGACTCATCCACTCAGATAAGATGCTGTCTTTTATGGCCATTCCCAGTGTTGCTTGGATACTGCTTTCTGACCTCATACTGCCATATCAAGTAAAGGGTGAGTGGTCCCAGTAGTAGCCCTGGTGCACAGAGCACTCAGAACAAGGAGAGTAGATAAGATTCTGTGGGACACAGAATATCAGTTAGATGTATGTCTGTCATGCGAAGAAGAGACAATGTGATTCATTCTATAACAAGTGCTGGGACACATCACTGATAAGTCCAGATTCAAGAAAAATTAATTCTTGTTGATCAATGGATACATGTTCAGGGAAGAGAAAATATAAAAGTGCCAGTGAGTATGGAGCAATTTATATAGATTGTGGGACCATCGAGAACTTCACAGACCAGGCCTAAGAAAGCATTGTATCAACTATAAGGAAGAGTAAGTAGAAAATTACATGGATTTTCAAGAAGTGAGTCAGTCAAAGTGGATACATTTTGACCTTTCAGGGCACTAAAGAGTTTATTATCAACTAAGAACTTAGTGGACTTGTCTAAACTCTTACCTTGTCTGAATACCAGTGCATATCATGGGCCAAAATTAATCCCTATTCTTTTTATAATAAAGCATTTTCAATTATTCTACTCCAGGGGAAGATTTGCAGAAGGAAGATTTGCCTCCAAAGACAAGTTGCCCCAAAGGCTCCTTGGCCTATGGCTCCCACTGCTATGGCTTGTTTCTGTCACCCAAATCCTGGTCGGATGCATATGTGAGTTTGGCAAAGAGAATTAATGAGAACTATTATGGCTCAGAGTTTGTCCTCCCAGTTATAAGGTTCCTTGAGAGGTCGAATGATATTCTAACTAAACCGCCACCCATAGACATGGCTCAGGGTCCTCTGAAGCTTCTTCCTGTCTCTTCCTTCCTCTCACAGTTTGCATGCCATAAAAGGCCCCAAGGACACCTTGTGTCTGTGCTCACTGCCTCTGAGGCTTACTTCGTAGCCTCCATGATCAGAAAAACGGGAATGAAGAATGAGGACGTCTGGATGGGACTCCATGATCCCACGGAGGTGAGATTACATCTCAAGTCTGAAAACTTCCAGCTGTTATTACCAAGAAGGACATTTTGCCTTATTTGTCTGCCCAAGAAATAGAATGAGCATGTCTAGCAAATAATAAAACCAAGGAGTGTTTTGGAAAACAGAAGTTCTACAGCCATATGAAGATCTGAGTTCCATAGAACACGTTCTTCAATTACTTGTGTCAGTCTCCCCATGACAAGCTTTCACAGAACTTGCTGACAAACTGCCACATGAACTGTGTGAACATGTCTTGGATGGATTTCATGGGCTACATGCTTCACCTCTATCTTTACTGCATCTGCGGTTTTGAGCTTGATCATTTCTATGAAATCACAAATATTCAAATATGAGATTCTTTCAACTGACCAATATTTCACTGACTTTTAAAAATCAGAGCTGAGAGCAGAAAAGTATTCCTCTATTAAGTCTAGGTCTGCATCCTAAGGTGAAGCCCAAATCTTATTATATAATTGATTTGGTTCTTCTGGGCATGGTTTATGGAATAAGAACTTAGTACCTAGTCATCACTCACCAGACCTCTCTCTGCTTTATGCCACAGGGCCATAAGCCCAATGGAAGCGGCTGGGAGTGGAGCAGCAATGATATTCTGAATTACCTGGCCTGGGAGGAAAGTACCCCATGCTATCCCAACACAGGCTACTGTGGGACCCTTTCAGCAACCTCAAGTAAGAAAGATTGAAACTTCTCTCTCTGTCTTTCATTGCCTATTTTCTCTATCAAAGTTCAAAAGATCCTTGACATCGGGGAAACCCAGGTTCATTTTATTTGCTTCTCACTCTCTGCTTCGTTTTTTGTCTTGACTGAATTTTATCTGCTAGGAATAGACCACAGGGGTAAGGGAAGCATGGAACTGGCACATAAAATAACTCTTGTATCTGCAATATTTACTTATCTCTTCTGTTTTTCCAGATTATGAGCAATGGAGAGGTTATGACTGCAATAAAGAGTTACCCTATGTCTGTAAGTTCAATGGTTGAGTTAGAGTTTACAGTTGCCTTTAGAATGGCTATCGTCATTAACAACGAACAGTGCTGCAAGATTGATCCTGCAAAGAAATATTCTCCAGGAATCTTAATGGAAGTTATAATTTAGACATGTAATGAAACATATCTCTTCACTCTGACCATTCTTCAAAATACAAATCGTCCCATCTTTCACTGATAATCAGTCATATCCAATAAATTTTTCATGAGAAATGACTTCTATTGTCCATGGCTACAAATTTTATTGTATTTGTATTCATATATTAGAGGAACACATTTTAGAAAGTGATCATATCAGGAAATTGTTATTTGCATTTTTATAAGTGTTCCTTCTCATAGAACTCTCTAATTCTAATTACACAAAGAGGCTATCAAATTTGTGAGGCATGGGCAAAATTGTTTGCTTGCCATTCTTTACATCTTGAGGGTGAAAGGGCTCAGCGGAGCATGTGCTGTTTAGGATTGAACCCAAGCCTTCTAAATTCTACACATGAGCTTAGCCCTCTGAACTCCTTCTGGAATGGAACCATTATTTTCATACTCATCTGACTTAAAGCACTGTAGCACTGTCCTGCCATTGCTCATCGATTTGCTCAAGCAGGCACCGGTAATGTCTCTATTGTGAGACTTGTTACCGTTTTTTGGCATATCGAATACATCACAGGTATTTGCCAGGCTTTGCCATGTGGGCAGAATACTCTCAGTAGCTTGCTGGGCTCTCTGAGAGGGGCAGAGGAATCGAACCCGGTTGGCCCTGTGCAAGTCAAACGCCCTACCTGCTGTGCTATTGCTCCAGCCCTGACTTAAAGCAATAGAAATCTCTTGGGATTTGGGAAATGGCAATTGACAATGATAAAGTATATCAACCATTTGATTAGGAGACACCAAGATGAGACAGGGTTCAATGTGTTTTTGCCAAACCAATGAAAGAACAATAATAAACTGCTTTTCAGTTCCTTTCTATTAAATTTATGTGTCTAACCCAAAAGATGCAGAAATCAATTTTTATTTTTACTTAAAATAATATAAAATGTAGAAAAATCCTTGAAAGTTTTTGAAAATAAAGTGGAACTTAACAAGTTACAAGAAACAAACAAAATGGAAGTCATCTAAAACAGAACCTATGCAATACAGCAGAATGTTACTTAGATTGAATAGAGTACCAGGTATTCATAGAGATACAATGATGTTTCAAGTGTATATTTTAAGCTCTGCAGAGAAGCAAATGAAAAACTTAGAATTCTTTAAAATAAGCAATGATTAATGTATGACATAAACATTAGAGCATAATAAAAGTAAAGAAAGTAAGAAATGATTTCTTAGAAAAGAAATACAATCAGGAAGTTTTTAACAGAAATTCTGAAGAAGAAATGAAGGACTAATAAAAAGAAACAGAAATCACAGAGAAGAAATTAAACCTGATTCTAGGAAAATACCAAGGATTTTAAGTTAAAGTATGAACAACACACACCAACAAACTTGAGAAATGAGATAAGACCTGGAGGATAGTACAACAAGTACAGCGCTTGCCTTCATGCAGCCCAGACAGTTTTAATTCCTGGCACCCATATGGTCCCCTAAGCCCTACAAGGGTGACCCCTAACTACAGAAATAGGAGTTATCCATGAACACTAACGATGTAACCAAAACAAAAAAGAAAATAGCTCAATGTTTTAAAATTATTTTTAAAATTTTTATTAGTGAAACACCATGAGGCACAGTTGTAAACTTAGAAATTTTTGTGCTCGGGTTTCAATTATACAATGATCAAATGCCCATCCCTCCCCCAGTGCCCAATTTCCACCACCACGGGTTCCAGTATCCCTCCCAGCCCCCAGCTCCCCTATCCCACCCTGCCTCTGTGTCAGGGCATTCCCTTTTGTTCTCTCTCTCCTTTTGGGTGTTGTGGTTTGCAAAAGAGGCATTGAATGGCAATCATGTTTGATCTGTTATCTACTTTCAGCATGATTCTCTCATCCTGGGAGGATCATCCCAACACCCTTTATTTGGTGTTCCCTTCTCTATCTGAGCTGCCTTTTCTCCTAGCATATGTGGCTGGCGTCCAAGCCATGGAGCAAACCTCCTGGTACTAATCTCAGCCAGTCTTGGGTGTTAGTCTCCCATTTTGTTACTTTATGTTCCCCAGATGAATGCAATCGTTCTATGTCTATCTTTCTCTTTCTGGCTCAATTCGCTTAGCATGATACTTTCCGTGTAGTACCACTTGTATGTAAATTTCATGACTTCATCCTTTCTAACACCTACATAGTACTCCATTGTGTAGATGTACCAAAGTTTCTTTAACCAGTCATCTGTTCTCGGGCACTCAGGTTTTTTCCAGATTCTGGTTATTGTAAAGAGTGTTGCAATGAACAAACAAGTGCAGATGTCACTTCGACTATACTTTTTTGCCTCTCTAGGATATATTTCCAGGAGTGGCATTGCTGGGTCAAATGGGAGCTCAAGGTAAAGGTAAAGGTAAAGGCCCTCCCGTTGATCATCGATTTGCTCAAGTGGGCCCAGTAACGTCTCCATTGGACACTTTGTTGTTACTGTGTTTGGCATATCGAATACTCTCGGTAGCTTGCCGGGCTCTCCGAGAGGGGCGGAGGAATCGAACTCGGGTCGGCCATGTTGGCTGCTTGTAAGGCGAACGCCCTACTGCTGTGCTATCGCTAAATTTCTAATTTTTTGAGAAGCGTCCATACTGTTTTCCAAAAGGGCTGAACCAGTCGGCATTCCCACCGGCAGTAAAGGAGGGTCCCTTTCTTGCTACATCCATGCCAACACCAGTTTCTTTTGTTCTTTTGGATGAGGCCAGTCTTTGTGGTGTGAAATGATATCTCATTGTGGCTTTGATCTGCCTCTCCCCGATGATTAACGCTGTAGAGCATTTTCTCATGTTCCTTTTAGCCATTCGGATTTCTTCTTTGATAAAGTTTCTGTTCATTTCGTTGCCCCATTTTTTGATGGGTTTGGATGTTTTCTTCTTGTGGAGTTCAACCAGTACTTTGTATATCCTTGATATCAACCCCTTGTTGGATATGTATTCAATGAATATCCTTTCCCATTCTGTAGACTGTCTTTGTATTTTGGTCACTGTTTCTTTGGAGGTGCAGAAGCTTCTTAGTTTAAGATAGTCCCAATTTTCTATCTCTGTTTTCACTTGCTTGGCCAGTGGCATGTCATCTTTGAAGATACCATTAGCTTCAATGTCATTGAGGGTTTTGCCAACTTTGTCTTCAATATTCATTAGGGATTCCTGACTGATGTTGAGGTCTTTAATCCATTTTGATCTTACTTTTGTACATGATGTTATGCAGAGATCTGAGCCCACTTTTTTGCTTGTAGCCATCCAGTTTTTCCAGCACAATTTGTTAAAGAGGCTTTCCTTGCTTCACTTTACTTTTCTTGCCCCCTTATTGAAGACTAGATGACCGTATGCTTGGAGGGAGATATCCGTATATTCAACCCTGTTCCATTGGTCTACAGTTCTGCCTTTGTTCCAGTACCATGCTGTTTTCATTATTACTGTTTTGTAGTAGAGTTTGAAGTTAGGAAGGTTGATTCCTCCCATTTTCCTTTTCCCAAGAATTGCTTTAGCTATAAAAATATGGAATGCTTCTCGAATTTGTGTGTCATCCTTTTGCAGGGGCCATGCAATCTCTGTATCATTCCAATTTTAGTATATGTGCTGCCGAAGGTAGAATGAGATCAATTTTTTAGAGAACACAAATTGTTATATCTGAAACAATTAATACAGAACCTCAGGAAAACATAGTTAACTGATGTCAAGCATAAAGTTTAAAACACCCAGTAATAAAAGATTCTTTAAAATAAAAGTTATGGCATTAACCCTAATTTTAACATTTTAAACTTATTTTTCTCTATGCCCCCCAAAATATCAAAAAAGAAAAAAATACCTTACACATGTTATAAAGCCAGACCAGATGAAGACATCTCAAGGATTGATAAGTATAGACATGTATTTTGATGAAATAGTGTATTTTAAAATAAAAAAATTAGTTAATTGTCTTTTTCTACTTTGGAGAAACCCAGGCTTCCTCTTGAACAATTGTTTCTCTCCTCATATTTTTCCACTAAGGAGTAACATTTGAATATGTTTTTATATCTTTCTTTTCCATGAAATCATTTGAGGTAAATATCTTTCGTTGTAAAATCTTTTCATTTTCAAAAAATGGAAATATCAATGAATTTAATTAAGCAGTAAATCAGATGAATAATACATCATAGTCAAATGGATTTTGTTACTGGATTCACTGATGTATCTTAGACATAAATAACCCAGATAAAAAGTATATGAGAATATCAGTAGATTCTTAGAAATATACAAAAAGTCTACATAACTATTAAGGATAAAAACTCAATAAAGTGAAAAAAGAAGAGGCAGAATCAAAAATTTAAGAATTCTAACATTATAAACACAGAACTAACAGCGTACTCAAAAGAAAAAAATAGAAAGTTTTTTTAAAATTTAGTTGGTAACCTGTCTCGTGTGTTGGGGTAGAAGGCAGTTGGAATAGAGAAGGAACCACTAAATCAATGATGATTGAGAGATCGTTTGGGATGGAGGATGTGTGCTGAAAATAGACTAAGGACCAAACATGATGGTCTCTCAGTATTGTGAACCATAATGACCACTCTCTATTGTGAACCATAATACCCCAAAGTAGAGAGAGAGTAAGAAGGAAGGTGCCTGTCACAGAGGCAGAGGGTAGGGTGGGGTGGGGTTGTGGTAGGGATACTGGTGATATTGGTGGTGGGAAATGTACTCTGGTGGAGGGATAGGTGTTTGATCATTGCATGACTGAAACTCAGACATAAAAGTTTTGTAACTGTATCTCACAATGATTCAATAAATAAAAAGTCCATTTCAAGGATGAAGCAGATACCTTGTATTAATTAGGCACACACTACAGTCTCCCAATATAGTAATTCCTCACAGAACACATTGGGGTACATCCCTCAAGATCCCAGAGCACTAGATGTGAGTTTGATGGCCCCAGGTTCCTCAGAATGAAGCAGTATTGCATCTCCAGGGAAGGCATTAAACCATTGAGTCCAATTTGCTAAGTGTTGCCTGGGTGAGCATTGCTTTTGGAGCTGTTGCCCCCCACTCCCGTGTTGCAATGATATTGCTTGTCTAAAGAAAATCTTTAGTAAGTAGATGAGTAAATTTAAAAATTGATCCCTCTGACAATTGCATATTGGGGAATTAAAAAGCTATGAGTAAATTTGAAGTGAAGGTGAAAAACATGTAGGATGAAGACTAAAATTTGCAAAATGACATAGGATAAGATATTTGGAGACAGAAAATATTTTATTTTATTTATTCATACATTTTGGATTTCAAAGATACACCCTGAGGTGCTTGGGATCTCGTCTAGAGATGATAGGAGGGATACTGGTTGTGATCTAGAAACCATATGTGGAACTGGGGAATGATATGGGGTTGGTTGTAAGGGGCAATTTTATTATCACTTGTATAATCTCTGTAGCCTGAAAGATATTTAAGGTTTGCTCAGAGACATTGCAAAATTTTAAAAAATTAAGCAAAGCCTTGGAAAAGTATATGGCAGTAGAGCTATAATTGTATGAGTTTGAGACTGTGGAATTTCCTTCACCAGATTGACTCTTTGCCTTGGGATGTTCTCAATATGGAATTACTCAGTGAAATAGGACCAAAAGTCATATCACAAATTGATAGGTGAAGATCTTAAACATGAATAAGTAAACCAAGGAAAACACCAAATTAATTTCATGCTTGTCCAAAGAATAAAAAATTCTGTTTTTTTCTTCATAATAATTCTAAAACAAAAAGAAGAGAAATAAAAAGAAATAAAGACACAGTGAATTAAAAATAATTTATTTTTATGTTTGAGGAGTTAGGGCACACAACACATCGATAAAAAAACAAGACTTGCAATGGGAAGGATCAAGAATGTATGGAATAGAAACTAAAGAACAATATTTTTTTCAGGGGCCTGTCTCAGACATCTTTCCATTTCCTGATGAGAAGCATTACAAACTCAGCCAGAGAGTGCTCATCCTGATTAGTTCTTGAATTTGCAGACACAGGGAAGCAGCTTTCTACAGTCATAATCTCTCCATTGTTCATAATCTGGATAAATTGAGGATATTTAAGTACAGCTGTTAGAACCAGGAGTGCAAAGGAGTCATCCAGATATTGGCCTATGGGAGCCTCATTGACAAGAGTGACCTACTCCTGAGGAAGGGCATTCAAGCAAGATAGAAAAAACAGAGAGGGTACAGCAGCAGAAAATACACCTGTATTTTCTTACAGTCTAGAATTTTCTGACCTTTGTTTTAGAAATGAGGGAATGAGAGGCAGAGACAGAAACTTGACTCTTTCTTAATTGAGGTTGCTCAAAGGCTCCCACAGTAGCCTGTGTCAGGATAATTTGAAGTATTTTTCTCCCAGGCATGGTAATTCAGCACATCATTGCCGCTCACCCAGCCACCTCCATTGGCTTAAGGACCTGTGGCATAAAGCAGAGAGAGATCAGGTTTGTGTAGAATTTCTTGCATAAACAATTCACTGAACACTTCATTTTCTCCATGATGAAAGTTGGTCTTTCCTAAAAGATGCAAACCTGGAGCTGAACTATGAGAAACTTGCCTTAGCTCATTCCTCTGATTGGTAGAATTTGCAAGTCTAGTAAAAGTCAAACTAAAGTATATATTGATTAAATACAATGCATTGCTGTATAGCTTTTAAACCTCAACAATTCAGAGGAATAAAAGCTGCTATGGAAGACACCTTCCCTAGTATTCAGCACTGAGTTGTTCACACAATCTATCAGGAGCCAATAGCACCAATTACATAAACACTTGATAGAGGGGCTGAAAGAAATTAAGAGATGAGTGTGCTCTACACAGCACAGACCAGCAGATGACTTCAGGTTCCAAAACTTTAACTTGTATCTCTAGGTATACTCATTCTATTTATTGGACAGGCAAAGAAGGAGGATATTCTGCATGGCAAAAGCAGCATGAAGGTGTCAGTTTGAAAGAGTAAACTCACTTCTGCGGGGTAATGGAGTTCCATCCAGATGTTCTCATTCTTTGTCCCAGTCTTCCTGATCATGGAGGCCACAAAGTAAGCCTCGGAGGCAGTGAGCAGAGACACAAGGTGTCTCTGGGGCCTTTTCTGGTATGCCAACTGTGAGAGGAAGGCAGAGATTTGGGAAGGGATTCAGATGATATTTGGACAGTAACCAGAGAGACAGGTGAAAGAATATCAATCTACCCATCTAGGAACTCCAGTAGAAGGGAAACCCTAAATCCATAGCCAACAGAAACTCCCACCAACCCCCTTTGCAAACTCACAACCTCATCCATCCAGGTTTTGGGTGACAGAAACAAGGCATAGCAATGGGAGCCATAGGACATGGTGACTTTAGGGTAGCTGATTCTTGTAGACTTTTCTTTCTTCTGTAATTCTTCCCCTGAGGTAGAAAAATGAAAAAGACTGATGGTGTGAAAAGTAAAATGGGATTAAAGGGTGGAGAAGATACCTATAATAAACAGATTAAATCAGTGCTAGGGAGCTGACTTCAAACAAATAGCAATCACTCAGATATTAGGATTGAGTAATTTCAATATGAATTAGGGCCCTTGCATGAGCAACCAAGCACTCTTGTTCTATTACACCATTTCTTTAAATGTTGAACCCATATTGTCTCAGTCAACTGAGATATTCTCCGTGGCTCACAGTCTTCAACTTTTGGTGACTGACACTTCCAATATTGATCTTCTATGGACATTGATTCCTTTGGTTCGATGGAATCAATTTCTGTGAATCCTGCTACCCACAGACATGTATCCTGCATTTCTTTTAAAAAGAGATCAGCGCCCTCTCCTCTCTGGAAAGAAAGATGGTGGCCGCATGGGAGCCTTGTGAAGAGCAGGTATGAGCTGAGGGTGTGGGGGCGACCAAAACCTCATGGGAAGGGGGGCGTTCCGGTCCGTCCTTCACGCCCTACCGAGGTCACCAGTTGCCCCCCACGAGTGGCTCTCCAGCACGGCCACAGCCCCAGAAGCACAAGGACTTAATGCAGAACCCAGCAGCTTGGAGCAGAAAAGTGAAAGGACTATGCGTTAATCCAGGCCATCATGTCTGCCTGGAGGGGAAAGGGTGTTGCTCCCTTCCTCCCTCCTCCCTCTGGAAAGAAAGATGGTGGCCACATGGGAGCCTTGTGGACAGCAGGTATGAGCCAGGGGTGTGGGGGCGACTAAAACCTCATGGGTCGGGGGGCGTTCCGGTCCGTCCTTCACGCCCTACCAAGGTCACCAGTTGCCCCCCGCGAGCGGCTCTCCAGCACAGCTACGGCCCCAGAAGCACAAGGACTTAATGCAGAACCCGGCAGCTTGGAGTAGAAAAGTGAACAGACTATGCGTTAATCCAGGCCATCAAGTCTGCCAGAGGGGAAAGGGTGTTGCCCCATTCGCCCTCTCCTCTCTGGAAAGAAAGATGGCGGCCATATGAGAACCTTGTGGACAGCAGATATGAGCCGGGGGTGTGGGGGCGACTAAAACCTCATGGGAAGGGGGGCATTTCGGTCCTCCCTTCACGCCCTACTGAGGCCACCAGTTGCCCCCACGAGCGGCTCTCCAGCACGGCCACGACTCTAGAACACAGAAACCAATTTCTTAACTATCTGACTTT